CCCTCAGGAAGTTATGCAAAATGTCAGTGCCTGGTTCACCATTCAAAGCAATTTTAGAACTCTTTTTGTGGAATGGTCATCAGAGCTGTTGTCTGTCATATTACCCTTGATGTCCTTAATGTCATCAAAATGTCTTCCTTTATTTTCTTTATCTTTGGGTAAAGTAAAAAGCCATTAGAGGCCAGATCAGGTGAGTAGGAGGGTGTTCCAATATAGTTATTTGTTTACTGACTAAAGACTCCCTCACAGACAGTGCTGTGTGAGCTGGTGCATCGTTGTGATGCAAGAGCCATGAGTTGTTGGCCATGATTTTCAGTTAAGATTTTCTTGTTTCTCTATGGATGTTTACTTGACCTGCTGTGCTTCTCATAGCCAGCCAATAATTTTGATGCACAATTTGATGGATTTTTGCAATTTTTTTGTAGTTTTTCTCATTATTGGTTGCCTTGACATGTCTTCATCAGTGACACTTTCTTGCTTAGAAAAATGTTTAATCCATTTGCACACTGCCATTTTCTTCATGGCATTATCCCCATAAACTTGAACTAACATGTCCCTGATTTTACTTCTACTCTTGCCAAGTTTAACAAGCAATTTATGAAGATTTGTTCATTGCTTTAATTCAAGTGCCAGCATTCTTGCATCAGCACACAAAAACACACAACAACAATAACGAATGCCACTCAGCAAGACACCCACTATTTGTCAACATGAACACAGCTGTGAGATGCTGATAAACTAAGGTTATGAAACCTTAGTAAGTTGTTTGTATGGTGCTGCCAACAGAAGTTCTGGGAGGCAAGTTTGCAAACTTAATTGTTAGACCTTGTATTGCCTTTAATTGGACTTTGACTCACCTCTTTGCCTTATCAGTAATATTCTTTGAAACCTTATGAATTTCAATAATCCCTCATGCTCTGGATTTATGAGAAACAATAACCCTGGTTCCTGGGAACTTAGACACACCAAATTCTGTCACTGAGTTAGAAAGACTAGATTATCAGAACTTCAAGATTCTTTTCATGCTCAACCTTAAATCCTCTTTAATTCTGATGAAACAAAACACAAAGCAGAATCTCAGTGTCTTTGCTGTTGCCTTTTTTGCCTTCAAATATGATTTTCCAACTGCAGACTTGCCTATGTTGTCACGTCTTTTTTTCTTAATACATGTATCTCAAATGTTAAGTGCATTTTTCTACACTGCTAGTTGGCATCATTTAAAAGATTGTGGCCTCAGTCTGTCTTCCCTCGAATGGTTATCTAGTTTTTCAATTGTACCAATCCTTTCTACATTAAAAAAAAATTAAGTGGAAAATTCAGGTTCTCAGTAGTTCCAATGATCTCTGTCATTCTTATTGGCAAGATTAGACATTATTCCTATGAATAATTTTGAAAAATCCTATTTTAAGTAAATTACATAGTATAAAAATGAACCAAATTATTACCTAATAGATCAATTATACTTTTGGTGTTTTTTAATATCTTGAGAGTATAAAAACTGTATGTACATTGTTCAGAACTTGGTGTAAGGGGGTAGAATATTATCACTAGGCTTTATCCCTTGTCCCAGTTACTTCTTTCTACCCTTAGACATTTTCCCAAGTTCTTTTAGTTTCTTGCAGTGATTTCAAAAAATGTCATTCCTCAAGTGAGAAACCAAAACATATTGCAGTAGAATGATCTCACTAACTTGAGTTCAAAAGAGAAAAAGACTTTCTGAGTTAGTGTGATGATTTTTAGAAATATAAATGAGGTTTATATTTCTAAACTTGCCATTCACTGATAAAAGTTGTTGAGCTGAGAGGACTGCCTTGAATAAGTATGATCTGAAATGGCGGTTTAGTCATCTCAATGTACATAGGTATTTCAAATGTGCAAAAGGGTCCATAAAAGCTCTAAAGTGGTTTATACTGTGTATGGCTCATCTCCAAAACAAAGCAACTTTAGCCCCATTCTCTTTGGATTATATCACAGATTTATTTTCACAAAATTTTTGTATCCTGAAATAAACATTTTTAGACACTAAAGTGTGAAAAGTGTATTAACCTTAAGTGTCCAGTCTTATCAACTTTTAGATACCTCATACCCATATCAAGATTTTATTCATGGAACTGGAGATTTAGGACATTACTGAAAGTCTGCTTTCTAGGGCAAAGTAACCATTTATTCTAGATGGGTGGTGCAGACATTGACTTCATCACACTACATGTTATACGTATATCTGAAGTAAGAAAGGCTGTACTGTTAAAAAATAAATTACAGGGCAGCACCTGTGGCTCAAACGAGTAAGGTGCTGGCCCCATATGCTAGAGGTGGTGGGTTCAAACCCATCCCTGGCCCAAAACTGCAAAATAAATAAATAAATAGATAAATAAAAATAAATTACAAACACACCCACGCATACCCACTACCTGTGCAGCCCATTTAATAGTTATTCATACTTATTTTATGCTTATTTCTAGAACTGTCCCTTATTCTCTTCATGGAGGATTTGAAATTTTTTGATGAATAAATATTCTGATGATTGCTGGCATTTCCCTACCTCTAGAATTTATTATATTTATCACATAAGCCAGGATTTCTTAACCTCAGCACCACTGAAATGTGTATTGGATAATTTTTTACTGAAGGGGGGAGGGCTGTTGTTGGGCATTGTGGGATGTTCAGCGCATCCCTGGCCTCTGGATACTGGGTGGCACACCCCCCACCCTGTCCCCATAATTGTGACAGCCAGACATATCTGTAGACTATGCCAACTGTCTCCTCCAGGGCAGAATCACCAACTGTGGAGAACCATGTTGTAGGGGCCATGAGAAGGGCCAGGCAACTGCAGCACTGAAGTTTGCTTGTGAAGAACAGGGAAAGAAAGAAGAGATCCTCTTGTGAGGAACACGCAAAACAAAAACCATCACCACCATAACCACCACAAAGGCAACATGAATGAAATACACAAAATCAAGAGTTACTATTTACCGACACCTTACTGTCTGCCAAACGATTTGCGTAGCTTCTTGCTAATTCTCCCGACAACCCAATAAGGGAGTGTAATTTTTCCAATTGTCTGGGTAAAGAAACTCTGAAAGGTTAATTGGGTCGTTCAGATGACTCCACTAGGAAATGGAGGAATAGGCGTCCAGATTACAGTGTGTCAGATCCCATAAAGCCTGTGCATGGTCTGCTTCTGTAACCTTTGCCTGACTTAAGATGTTTTGTCTGAAGGACACATTTTGCTTCGCTATTCGTAAACAGGGGATAACACTACAAATAGATAAGACCTCCAAGTCTGTTAGAGTCAGAATTATTTTCTAGCTTGCAGGTTTGCTTACCTTGAGCCATCTACTTGGTTACACTATGCCTGCCAAATGGAGGCTTACTGGAGAAATATGGGGCCCAAAAACTTCTCTGGCAATATATTTAGGCTGCCAGAAAAGCTCTTACAAGGCTGGGAAGTGACTCTTGCTCTGGCTTATCCCAACACTTGGCTCTTTCCTCCCAGGTTTTAGAAAGAGCACAGTCATTTGGTGCTGTGGTGTGATTCTTCTTTGCTTAAAACTAGTCTTTGACTTGTAGATAAATGAGCAATGATGTGAATACCTGGGGGGTGCATCTCCTTAATTAACTCTTACCAGTGTTTATAAATGATTCTGAAAATACAAATTAATAATGCACTTAACAAATGAGAAAAATAATTGCTTTTTTTAGGTGTAAGACATGAGGATGTAAGAGATCCAGAAGTCACTTTTTAGCATAAACTGTCACAATTTGAGATTAAAGTCAAAGAAAAATAATTTCTCCCTTCCTCTTTTTTTCTTTCTCCTCTTCCTCTTCCTTCCTCTCATCCTCCTCTTTCTCCTCTCCCTCTTCCTCCTTATCCTCCTCCTCTTTCTTCTTCTTTTCTTTAGAGACAGGGTCTTGCTTTCTTGCCTGGGGTAGAGCGCAGTGGCATGATCATAGCCTCCTGAGCTCAAGCAATGCCTCTTAGAGTGTTTCTGATGCAGTTCTAATAAGTTATCATATAAATACTAGTAACTATTTGACATGCTCAAGTTAAGAAAGCCAGGAAGAAGGAAATAAATTTCTATTAGAATCGATTGAAGATCTACTAATATTTAAATCAAGAAGTCCCAGTAGCCTAATGGATAAGGCATTGGCCTCCTTATATTTAAATCAGTGTAGAACAAAAATAAATTCATGAATTTACATTTTAGTCCAAATCAATTATTTGT